AGCTCATGTAGCTGAAGACGGCCGGACTGGGAGGGCGGCAGGAGGGACCCAGGATGCCACCCCACCCAGGTCTGCAAGGACGCCAGGGACCCGCTGGAGCGGCCCGCAAGCAACCCAGCCGTGCACACGTGTCTGTTCCTGCTTTTACCCCCGAGTTGGTGTCGGAGCCCGGAGCACTGCGTCCCGAGCCTTTGTAGCTAAGAAGCCATGGTGGGCCGGCCGGCCGGGGACGCAGCTACCAATGTGCAATAACATGGTGTTGGGGGTCCGGGTGTGGGGCCGCGGCACCGTGTGGCGTGGGGGGAATCTCAGTTTTCTAGCCAGCTACCTCTGTAATTCCAGTTCATTCAGGTTAATTTCCCTATGGGGCAGCCCAGCCGCCCGCCGTGCCCACCCGTCCCACCCCGTGAGGCGAGGGGGACTGGCTGCACCTGTCACCTAGCTCTTGCGTTGCCCGTGGGCTTGGGGTGCCCTCCTGACCCACGGGAGCCTCTTCCAACAGGACCCAGCCCTGCTGCCACACTGGCCTGGGGGAGCCTTCCAGGCCCAGACCTCCAGGATCCCGGGTGGTCTTGCAGGCTCCCCCGCCTCCCCACCTTCAGATCCTCTGTCCACGCAGGAAGCAATACCGGTTCAGGTCTGATGCGCAGGGCCTGGGCCATGCTCACCGTATGAACTCGCCGGGAGGCCAGCGCCGGGCCTGGCCCACATGGGCAGCCCATTGTGGCCGCTATTTTCTAATATTTGTATTCTAATTTAATGTTTTTTAAAAATGCAAATAAAAAACTCAAAGAGACGCTACACTGGCTTGTCCTGTGATTCTCTGTAGCCCAAGCTGGCCCATGCCTGCTTGTCGTCATCAGTTAAGAGGTGACTATGTCCCGGGTGGGGAGGATAGCTCCAGGCTGCCAGTCAGTGGAATCCAGTGCAGGTCACAGGACACCAAAGGCAGATACAGGAGCACCTGGGAACAGGAACCCTCCTGTGCTATATACACAGGAACGTGGCTCCAGGCTGCCTAGTGCTGAGGCCAGAGCAGTCAAGTAGTTAAACATGGGTGGACCCAAGTGAGCAGCCACCCACAGACTGGTATGAATGTCCACAGTGGCCAGATCACAGAGATGGGTGGCCACAGACAGTCCAACATGCTGTAGTGTTAAAGGAGCAAGGCTCTGACAAATACCACAGCGTGAAGGGACCTCAACATGACGGTCAGTGAGAGACCCAGCTATGAAAGACTGGGATGGAGTTACTGCTCATGTGGATGGGAGGCGAGGGAATGTTCTAGAGATAGAAGTGGTAGATGCACAATTCTTTTAAAAGCCTCAGCCTGGGGGGCGGGGGGCAAGACCTATGGTGTGAGGATTGGGGAGAATTAAGAGGGCTGCAGGCTCTGAATCTAGAAGATTCTATCCCAGTCTGTTCTGTGCCACTCTGCAGGCTGGGAGTATCTAAGGAATGGAGATGGTTCAACACAACCTAGTGTCCAGCGGCCCAACACCCCATCAGGTAGGCACCCTGCAGAACCATGACAGTCACTTCCAGGGAGCAGGACATTGGGACTGCAGGGGCCAGGCTAAGGTAGCTCCTCTGGGCCCAGGTCTACAAAGTCAGTGGAGGACCTACACCATGTCTCTCATATCCCAAGCTAGTCTTACTAGCCTGGACACATGCTCACAGGCCACAGCCAAGGGCATGGGGAGGGCACTGGGGGTCATTAGCCTCAGGGTAGACTGGACCTTGTGCCCACACCATCAGAGAGTTGTCCTGTCCCATGAAAGGGCTCCAGGTCCCACTTCCTCCTGAGGACAGGAAGTTGTCAGCAGACTGAGGCTTCCAGGCCCCAATCCGTGGTAAGGTCACTGGGGCCCTGGCACATTGGTGGCCTCTTAGGATCAAGTCAGTGACCACCCGCCCCAAGAACTGTGGGACACCTCCCTAAGGCCTGGGCCCCACCTCCCACCCTGGGAGCCACTGGGTCCCTCCATCCAAGTGGCACCCATAGGACACACAGCCAGGCCAGGCAGGGACAGGGTGTCTCCCAAACCCCCCCAAAATCCCCGGAAAGCAGACATGACACACAAACCAGGCAACAAGCGGTCGTAACAGGCTGCATTTAGTGGTTGGTTTTTCTCTTTATGTACAAGAAAATGAATTGTATTTTTTCAGATTTTTCATAATCTTTTGCTTTTTTTAATTATGTTTAAAGCTTGTCCCCCCACCCCCAAAAAGTGCATCTTTTTAAAATTCAATTGATTTTGTTTTGTTACATCTCCCACACTTTTTATAAAGACTCAGATCCAGTCACTGGAATGTCTACTCTGTGCTCTGGACCCTGTGGATGCTAACCCTGCCCCCTACTCACCAGGCCTGGGCCCCCCAAAAGTCCAAGGCACCTGTGTCCGAGCCTGAGGTAAGGACCCCGGGCCCTCCGTTTCCTGACCCTGCCCACCCCCCCGAAGGTAAATCAATCTATTTAGTGCGAGCTGGTTCTCAACTGAGATAATCATTCCTGGGGTGAGGACCCCCAAGACCCCTGACCCGTCCGGCGCGAGCCACCCCCCATTCTGGGAAGGCCGTTTTCCTCAGCTTAAATAATTTTTTAAAATAAAACTGCAAATATAAATATCTTTCTTTCTCAAAAAATAGGATTTTTGCTTTCTCTTTTTTTTTTTTTGATTGATTTTTATTTTTTATTTTTTTTTTCCTTTTTCTATTTTTCTCCTTTCAGTCTGTATCCCCTTCCCATAATCTCAGCTACCTGATCTGCCAACACCTCAGGAGTCCCTGACCAACCAGCCTGGGGCCCACCCAGTGCAGCATCCCCTGGTCACCCACCCACGGGAAGAGCCCGGGAAACCCTGTCTCCACCAAAGCACCCCCCACACAAAAAGGAAAGAGGGCAGCTGTGCTCAGACAGTGACAGGTACAGTGGCTGTGGGGCGTCCTCCTGGCTGACCACCCCAGGGGCACCCACTTTGGTTCTAGCCCGAGGCCTGTTTACATTCATCAGTTTTTTGTTTTTTCCTTAATCTCCAAGGCCAGTGGGGATAGGAAGGCAAAGAACAGCGACTAGGCTGGGTGGCCTCACGGTGCTCAGGCTGGGACGGGGCAGGCAGGACATATCCTCTCCAGGCCTTGGGGTCCCCAGAGCCCCCCCAGGCTGTGTCTCCCTAGCTCGCTCACGCTCTCTCTCCCCCTCACTCACTCACAGACACACCCATACAACTTCACCATCCACCATACTAGAAATAACAAATTTCTGTCTTTTTTTGTTGATTTTTTTCTTGTTGGTACCAGGCAGTTAAAAAATTAAAAAAAAAAAAAAAAAAAACCTTCTCCTCCTTTGGCAAATAAGGCAGTGTGCTAGTATTAACCAAGACACACACACACAGCCAAACAAAAACCTTTCTACAGCCTCTTTCTTTGGCAACTTTTATCACGACCTTAATTTAAAGAATAATTAAAAAAAAAGTTGATCCACATTCTATATACAGTATGTGATTGCAGTTATGTTGGGGGGCCAGGCTTGGGGAAGTTGGGGTGTCCCGGCTCTAGGCCCATGCAGTGGCTTCGGCCCCCCGGGACGGGCTGGCGGTTAAGGCAAGGTGGAATGGGTGGAAGCTGAGAGGAGCCAGGGGCAAGGGTTTAGTGCAGCTCCCAATCTCCCAGTGGGGTCCTGTGAACTCTGCCGGTGGGCTGGGGTGTCCCCCACACCCCCAGACTCCCAGACCCCCCGAGGGCTCCTTGGACCCCCCCTAGAGTCTGGTGGCCACTGGCTAGGATGCCATGTGACTTAAATTGGATTTATTGCGAGGGTTGTCAGGGGAGGGGGGAGTTCAACCTTGGGGGGGTGGGGGCGCCTGCTCAGCCTGGACTGTGGGTTTCCCAACACAGCACACACTGTGAGAGGGGTGCAAGGGAGGCCAGCACCATCCCATCCCTTGGGCCTGCACCTTCGACCGGCCCCAAGGGGGGGGATCCTGAGACATCTTGAGAGGGGCTAGAAACAAAAACCTACCTAAGATTCTGGAGGAAAAAAAAAAATGGCCTTTTTAAAAGCTTCCCTTTAAAAACCAAAAGGAAAAAAAAAAAAGACATTTGTCGACAGAGAGGGGCACCAGAAGTTAGAGGGACTCGAGGACCCCGACCCCGCCCCCTCCAGACACCCACTGGGAAGGGCTCCGGCTCAGCAGAGTGTGTATTTACAGGGTCCCAAGCTGAGCTCTGCCTTCACTGGGGATTGGGGGTACCCTTACACCCAGCTGCGTCATGCCCCACCAATCCCGGCCCCTGTTCGTGGCCTGTGGCCCAGTCAACACTGGACCTTTTTTGGGGAGGCCGGAATTTTGGGGGGTGCAGAGGAGTCAGGTGCCAGCCCTACAGTCAGTGCCTTTAGTAAAAAGATGGGGTGCCTAGGAAGAGGGGGTACACCCATCACCTCTGGGACCAAGGAGGGGGACAGCCACACAGGAAGGCAGGTTTCGGGAGTCTGGCTGGCCAGCGACCAGCTCTCTCTAGGGACAATCCCTGAGCTGGGAAGCAATGTGGTGAGCCAGAGGGGACAGGTGGCCACAGGTGGCATGCCCAATGAAGACAGAGCAAAAAAAAGGCAGGGAGCAGGTGCGGGGGCCTGGCACAGACTTGGGGATCCCTCTAGTCCCTTCCCATGGCTTCCTGGCCACCCCGACCCCAAGCCTTGGGGATACAAGTGGGATTCTAAAGTTACGATGAGTTTTTTTATTTTATACAAAAATAAACTGACGTAGGAATTTTCGACCTCTCTCTCCCTCTCTCTCTCTCTCTCTCTCTCTCTCTCTCTCTCTCTCTCTCTCTCTCTCTATCTATCTTTTCAATTTTTCATAGAAGTTTGGGTGCGCTCTTTTCAATTTTTCATAGAAGTTTGGGTGCAACTTGTAAACATTTTTTTTAAATTAAGAATTAAAGTACCCGTTCTGTTACAAAGTGCCAAGGTCCCCCCAATACGGCTGGTGGCCTGGTTTGTTGTTTCGTTCTTCCTGTTTAATAAAACATTGGGGTTTTATTGCTGTTTGTGAAATTAAGCTGTGGCCTCCCTCACTTGCTCCCCCATCCTTGCCTGCCAAGTCCCTAGGGGTTCCCTCCAGTTCTGGCTGCATCCCCCCAAAACCCCTGCCGGCTCCTCTGAGGAAAAGAATATTTTTTTATATATATATCTCTCTCTCTATATATATATATATCTATATATAAATTTTGTCTTTAAGGAGGAAAGGGAGGGAGGATCTAAAAAGTGCTTTAAAAAGTGGGGCACAGGGTCAAGATAAAAGTTTTGAATCTGAACATGGAGGTTCTGGAGTGGCGCAGATGGGAGGATTGGGGGTGGGGGTCGCCCTGAGCAGTGGCCCCAAGGGCCCCGCCAGATGTAAGCGCCGTGAAAGGTGGCGGAGACCCTGGGGTCCCCCGGAAACCCCTGCAGTCCCCCAAGTCCCGGCTCCATCCATCCAGGCTTGGGAATAAATAGATTTTGTGTCTCAGTGGAGGCCAGGGTGGGGTGTGCAGAGGTGTGAGGCCACAGGCAAGGATGGGAGACAGGGAGGCCGGCAGGAACAGCAAGGGGACACCCCCCCTTTTTTAGTAAGTGCCCTGAGGAAGGAGGGTGGGGGGCTGGGGACCATTTTAACGTCCACTCCCAGTGGACAGAAAACATTTAAGGTCTGTCTGAGAGACCCCTACAAACCAACCAGCCAAGAGTTGGGGATGCATCCCCGAGTCACCCTCACCCCAGCCAGGGGCAGGTGGAAGGGACCCCAGGGCCAGGGCCTCGGATCGGGGAGACCAGGCTCCCTGAGCCCCACAGGGCCCCTGTGCTCAGTCCCAGGACCCCACAGCAGAGAGGGCTGCGGACGCAGGAGCGGGGTGGTGGGGTCCCTGTAGGGGGACACACATCATGAGGACAGCAGGCGCTCGCCTGTGACAGCCTTCGATATATATATATAGAGACATTATATATATATATATCCTGTGTGTAGATAAGATAGATAGATAGATAGTATCTTATATAGAGAATTTCTTGTTTTGTGGTGCTGGGGGTGGGTGGCGTAATCCTGCTCTCTCTATCTGGGGATGTCTGTCCTCTCTCTGTTGTTTTTGGTTTGTTTTTGTTTTATGCAAGTCCGGATGCGAAGTTACCCTCGGTGGCAGCCACCTCAGGGCCACCTGTGCCGTCCTCTCCGCCGCCGCTGCCCGCTACATTCAGGCGGCCCGAGTCAGGGCTAGCCTCGTCCTCCTCCTCCTCCTCGTCCTTAAAGTGCTTCTCCTGACCGTTTCGAGGGGCGTCAGAGACCCCGGGGGGCACAGGAGCCCCAGCCGGGACGTCAGGGGGTGCACCGCGCACTCGGGGCTTGCGGCCTCGGCGGGAGGGAACCCCGTTGCAGCCGTCTTTCTTGAGGTGTCTGTGCAGGTGGTCTGAGCGGACAAAGGTCTTGCAGCAGCTGTCGCACTGGTAGGGCCGCAGCCCCGTGTGCACACGCATGTGGTTCTTCAGGTCGTAGTTGTGCGCAAAGGCCGCCCCGCACTGCTGGCACAGGTACGGCTTCTCGCCGGTGTGCTTTCTCATGTGGACCTTTAGCTTGTCCTGCCTGCAGAGGAGGGGGCACAGTCAGCTGGACTGCCTGGGGGACACCCCACTCCCCACCCTGGGAACCTCCACCTTGGGACCACACCCCAGGGACCATACGGACCACATCCCATCCCCAGAGCCCCCAGACCTCAGAGCTAAGCAGACTGTTCCCAGCCAAAGGAGACAAGAGGATACAGGGTGGAAGACCTGGCTGACAGGGGGCAGGTGTGCGCCTTAGCACCACCACTATTTATTGGGTACCTGCTGGATGCCAGGCTCTGGTCCAGAGACTGAAAATGCCACAGGGGAGTATGTGTGTGTGTGATACACTGGGTGTCTAGATGGTCTGGTTTTAGCTCTTATCTGTAACCCCATCAGAGGCAAGGATTTCTGTGAATTCCAGGCTAGCCTGGGCTACATAGTGAGGCCATGTCTCAAAAAGCAAACACTGATAAACTCCTACTTGCCTCTCAAAGCCCACCCTCCACATTGACCCTCTGCCTTTTCTGGTCTTGCCCCTGGCCTGAGTTTCTGGCGCTGCCCTGGGCTGCCCTCCCTGCTAGTTCTACGCTGTTCCTGGTTCCTCCTGCCCTCAAAGACACAGCCCCTGGTCCTCTGAGCCAGACCTTCATCCCTGCCTCAGCCATTGCCCTGTGCCAAGAAACTTGGGTGCACTGAACTCACCACTTGCCCCTGCAACTGCCCAGATCTGCAACCAACACTGGAGTACATAGCTGCCCCTGCCCCCATTCAGGCCCTGTCAGGCCCTCAGAGGACAGGACGGGACAAGTTTTTCTAGCTGTGTCCAGTCATTTCCTCAGGTTCAGAGAGGAGAAGCAACAGGCCTGGGGTTGCACAGCAGAGGTGGGGGGGCAGACCTGGTTTCATCACCCCAAGCCCTAGCCTGGGTAATTATAGCCCAGGCTGCCACAGACCCAGCTTACTCAACGCTCACTGTGAGTCACAGGGGCCCCTGGGCTCCAGGCCTAGAGGGGGTGGGTGGGGGCTGGGGCCCGGGGCAGGGGGAGCAAGAAGAAACCAAGTGTGGGAGAAAAGGCTTCACTCGGAGCCCTTCTCTGGGCCTCAGTTTCTCTGACAAGAAGGGCAGGACCAGCCCCAACAGCAGGTGGAGGTTGCCAGGTACCAAGAAAACTGAGCCAGGCTGGTAGCATGGTGGCCCCCAGACCTCTATTCTGCTGATCACTCAGACCCTAAAGGGGGGAGCCCATGGAACCCAAGGACCCTCCCTAGAGGAGGAGCCGTGGCCTCACCACCCATAGCCCCGCCCACTAAAGTGCCCGCCTCAGCACTGTGCTCTTTGCCCTCAACTGGCACTCCTGGGTACTGGAACCTGGCCTGCCACACCCTCCTCTCCTGCCTGCTGGGGAGGGGGCTGGGGTGCTGGATGCTGGGGAGGGGTCGGGTGCGGCCAGGAAGCCGGAACAATGGTTTCTTTCTTCAATCCTGGTAGGTGTGGCTGGGGGAACCCCAGGGCCGGGGGTAACGCTGAGTCACCGGGCCTGGCCGGGTCTCTGCCTGCCAGTTGTGCTCCCCCCCACCGCAGGTCTGGCCTGCCTGGGTCCACACAGCCCAGCAGACACATCTAGACTCCTCAGAACTGATCACACACAGCACCTGGCTAGGCCTTCCCCATGGCTCCCTCTCCTCCTACCTCCATGGCCCCCAAGATCCCCAAGTTAACTGGCCCCAGGGCCTTTGCACTGCTAGATCTCAGCAAGGCCTGCATCAGTCAGTGTCCTCATGTAGACTCTGGCTTGTCTGTCCACAGCTGCTTCCCTAAACCTGGGCCTGCCTGGCCTAATAAATGTTGGCTGAGAAGCCAGGTGTGGTGGTGCATGCCTTTAATACCAGCATGCTGGAGGCAGAGGCAGGCAGATCTTGTGAGATGTAGCAGCATGATCTACATGATGAGTTCCAGGCCAGATGGGACTGCAGAAAGACCCTGTCTCAAAAAAACAAACATGGCAGCTGAATGACTTCAATGCCCAACCAGAAACCTCCTGCATGGGGAAGTCACTCCCCCAAACAGAAGAGCAACTCAGCAGTTAAGAGCAAGGGCTGCTCTAGCAGAGGACTGGGGTTTGGGTACCACCACCCAAATGGCGGCTAAGAACTGTTCATAACTACAGTTCTAGAGGATCTGACTCCCTCTTCCAGCCTCCAGGGGCATTGCACACACAGGTGCACTTACATACACGCAGGCAAATACAGAAAATGAAAATTCTAGAAGATCGAGTATAAAGGAGTGCCTTTAAAGACAGAAAAAAGGCCCGGCCCCTCTGCAGCTGCCCACAGGTCAGGCCCAGTCACTCCCTTTCTGCCTGCCCACCCTCACTGGGATATGAACCCTTGAGGTCAGGGACCTGTCTACACTGGCTTGGACAAATGGGCACACTGCAGGGGTGGGGGGTGGGGGAGACAAGGGACAGGGACCTGTCCACAGAGCAGTGTGTGGCCTCAATAGGGCCCATGCTCACCTGGTGAAGCGGACTTTGCAGATGTTGCACTCGTAAGGCTTCTCGCCCGTGTGCGTGCGGATGTGCCGGGGCAGCTTGCCAGCGCCCTGGATCACCTTCTCACAGATGGGGCACTTCTGGAAGGCCTTGGCCCGGATCTTCTTCTCACCCTTTTGCGACCAGGCTGGGTACACATCCCCCTCGTGGGCGCCGCTGAAGTATTTCAGGTAGTAATCCATGACGCCTTTGTCGTCTGCCCGTGACTCCTCGTCGCTGTCCCCGGAACGGCCTACTGACGACATCATCTGTTGCAGCAGCGTGCTTGCCGCCAGCCCGTCCACATCAGCAGCATCCCCATCCTCACCCTCGGCTGTGCCAGACAGGAAGGTAGGTGAGTCCCCGGGTTCCGGGGCCGCCTCAGACAGTGAAGCTGCCTCCTCGTCCCCGGCCCGACCATAGTGGCCATTCTGTGTGGTGGTGGGCGGGGCAACAGGGGTTGGGAAAAGACCCCCAGCAGGCGCATCTTCATCCCGCTCAGGCCACAGGCCGGGGTTGCTGTCCCCCTCGTCCCCGTCCCCTGCCGGGGGTCTCTCAGTCGGTGGGCCTGGTCCATAGAAGTCTAAGCCGTTGCAGTCGCCCGCAGCCACAGCGGCCACAGCAGCGGCCACGGCCTCTTTGGTAGCATCCAGTTCATCGTCAGGGGCACCAAAGGTGGACCATGGGAAGCTGGCGGCTGCGGCGGCAGGCAGGCTGTTCATGGGGTTGCTCTGGAAGAACTCCAGGTACTCCTTGGCGCGGAGCAGGTTGCGCTGGTCAGTCTGGCCTACTGGGTCCAGCTGTCCGGCGTCTCCAGCGTCGGCTGCCAGGATCTGGCGGTCCAGGAGGTCGGCGCACACATGGCTCACAGCGGGGATCTCGAGCAGGCGGGCGGCGCTCAGGATGTCACCCACATTGGCTGTGCTGACCGTGAGGGTGGCCGTATAGGCGAAGTCCATGAGTGCGGTCAGCGCGTCAGCGCTCACAAAGTCGATCTCGTACACATTCTGCTGGTCCACCACGGCACCTGACGTGAAGAGCTTTTTGAAATACTGGCTGCAAGCGGCCAGCACTGAGCGGTGTGTGGGGAACTCCCGGCCCTCCACTAAGATGACCACATCGCACAGCAGGCCCTGCGTCCTCTGCTCATTCAGGCCACTCAGGATGTCGCTGCTGTGGTCCGGGAACGGGATCCCAATGGGGCCGTCCACGCCACCAGCCATTTTCCGCACCCACACCTGCAGCCAGAAGGACAAGGGCCATCAGTGGGCAGTCAAGGCCTGGGCCACTGGCCAGTGACTTGCGATACCACACCCAAACCCACCCCAGCCTCAGTTTCCCAGCTGAACACATCAAGATCTGGGATATGAGACTGGGAGAGTTGTTTGCTAGTGGGTGAGGGTTCTCATAGCCTCTGACCAGCTTTGGGATCCCCAGGAGTTCTCCCCAGCCTTAATTTTAATTTCCCAGCTTGGCACCTCAGTCAGAACCCACCCTGCAGCCAGGTGCACTCCTTTAATCCCAGCACTCTGCGAGACTGAGGTCAGCCTGGGCTACATGGAGAGGTCCAGGCCAGCTGGGGCCACAGGAAGACCCTGTCTGAAAAAATAAAACCCCACAAAAACAAAACAAAACTGAAAATGCAAAAAACAAACGCACAGAGGGACTGCAGCCCGCATAGCTGCGGTTCCTCCTGGCAAGCCATGCAAGGATGTCTGTTCATGAGTTCCCCACCCCAGTGGGAGACATGGGCCAGAGAGGGACACCAGCTGTCCTTGACCCCCCCCCACTTTGCTAGGGGTCTCAGGATGGGGTGTTACCAAGCATGGGACCTGGGCTTGCCTGCCATCCAGAGGGCTCAGTCTGTGGGTCAGCCCTGCACCCCCTAGGCCGTGTCCCCACAGAGGACAGGATGGGTCTACCTTGCCACCCAGCCCAAGATGGTGTCCTAGCATGAGCCAGTCCTCAGTCTCTCCATCTGGCAAATGGGCACAGGTCCCCTGCACAGGGGGAGCCTGACCCATCCTACCCCACCTCTCCACTACCCCCCCAGCTGTGACTCATCTGCCCACTGCCTTGTGGAAACTGCTGGCACTGTCCCCACCCTCCGCCCTCTCCTGGGAGCCAGACTGCAGGACCCCCATCCTCCACCCTCTCCCTTCACCACCCAGCAGGACCCCCACTCCTCTGGATCCTCCTGCCTGTCACCCCAAGGCACACTGTCCCCAGAGGGGACAGGACCTGGGCTGCACTCTCCTGAGGCCCAGGGGACCTTCCTGTCTGGTGATGCCTGACCTGTTTCTCACCCATGTGGGCCTGAGTAAGACTGGTGAGGGAGGCCCAGTCCCTGGTGGGTCCCTCCCCACCCGGTAGCCCATGACACAGACTCCTTTGTGCCCTCAGCCACCGCCCACCCTTTCTTCCTGCTGCACCAGCTGCTCGAAGCCCCCTGCTCAGGGGATGAGAGACTCAGAAGTGATGGTGTGGAATGGGGGTAGGAGAGACCCTGCACCAGGCACAACTCCAGAAGCGCCCCCCCCCTCACCATCTGCTGTCTGGGCCTCAGGGAGCATGTGGGCAGATGGAGCTCAGATCTGATAGGACAAGCCGGTCCTCTCCCTCCACTGCCCACCACAGGGAGGGGGGACACGTGACCCCCGTCCCGGCCATCACTGCCCCAAGATGTCCCCTAGTCTGGGTGACCCAGGTCCCCTCGGGGATGGCTAGAAGGTATCTATCTCTCCAGGGGCCTGACAAGGCCTGAGTGAGTCAGCCCTGGCCTTCACCTCAGGCACGGCCACCCTGGCTTCCCACCAGGCTCGGGGCCAGGGGCTGCCCAGGCCCTATTTTAAGTACTAAGGAACTCAGGCTCCAGGACGTGGATTGTGGCTGGGGTGTCAGAGATGTCCCTCGCTGAAAGGCCAGGCCTGGGTGACTGAAGCCAGGGGGACCCCTTCGGGAACCAAGGCTACCACTGACAAAGACAGAAATGGGCTCAGAGAGGGCAAGACACCCAGGCCAGGGTGCCCAGCAAGGACAGGCCACCAGGTCCAGAGAGGGTGAGACACGGAGGTGAAGGCTCCCCCAGAGCTACCTGGGTTGCCAGGTCCTGGAGACTGAACTGGGCCCCTGAAACAGCTGACAGGCCCTCTCTCCAGAACAAGACCCACCTGCTGCCACTCCCTGGGCCTGAGCCCCACCTGGACCTTTCAGGGGCCCTCACCCAGGAAGCCAGGACTCCCCTCAGTCCCGAGAGACCCAGTTTCCAAGTGCTAGAGCCAACCAGAGCCTCCAGGGTGCGTGGGGTCCCAGGAACCCAAGTTTGGCACCTGTAAGCTACAAGCCCAGTTTGTGTGGCATCTATGGCACAGCTGGGCCTGGCTGGGGAGTGGAGGCCACATCACCCTCCTCCGGGAGGCCTCCCCAACCCTGACCAGGGTCCCCACAGGACAGTTCCTGCCTGCGCCTGCCCCCATGGGATTTCCAAGGCTGCTCGGTGCTGAGTTGGCGGCCGGGTGAGGGGCAGGCCCTGGCAGGCCCCTCCTGGGCTGGAAAGGTGGGGCACACTCTTGTGGGGCCTGGCCACACAGTAGGGGCATAACAAAAGGTCACAAGAACCAAAGCCCGGGGGAGGGGGAAACAACACCCTGCTCCACCCTCCGACCAGGCCTGGCACACCCAGTACCAGGGGCCAGCTGCAGGTCCCACCTCATCTCACCTAGGGTTACTTGCTGTAGCTACTTTCAGGAGAATCTGCCCTCCCCCTCCTATCTCAGCTTTCAGGAACTAACCAGGTGCCTATGCCATTCTCCCCAACAGCCAGGCTCATACTCCAGCCTAGGGGATGGCCCAGGAAGGCCCCCGGGGGACTGAGGACCATGGTCTGCTGTGGGGACAGGACTGAGCAGCCTGGAGGTTGGGGAGGGGCACAGAAACCTAGGTCAGGGGTCTTCCCAAGGTCACACACAGAAGGTGAAGGGTAGGACTGGTCCCCACCCCCAGGAAGGAAGAGGGGCCTGGGCAGGTCTCTGGTACCCACTACCTTCCTGGACACTTCTGGGGGCAGGGAGGGGCTGGCTGATGAGAGGAGTCAGACTCCACCCTCTGAGCTGCCCATCATCCCAACAACACCGGGGTTCAAGTCCCATCCATTCCCTCCCCTTTGCGTGCCTCCATTTCCGCTGACCATTTCTCTGACCAATTGGGGTGCTGACTCAGCTAGCCCCTTCTTCTGGATCGAATGTTATTCCTAGGAACTGGGCCCAGAGAGGGTGGGCCGCCAGCCCAAGGTCACACAGCAACCCTGGTGCGCAGGTGCGGCCACAGCCCCCGCCCAGCCTGTGATGCAAGGTTAGTCCCTGGGGGTTCCAGCGCCCTGACCTGGTGCCAACCCCCGCCTGGCCTGGTCCCAGTCTAATGGAACAGGAATTCAGTGGGGGAGGGGGGACATGGGCGGCCCCCTGCCCGCAGGCCCTCCAGGACAAGCCAGCCACGTCCCTCCAGCCAGGCCGGTCACACAAACAGGCCCTCCGTCATTTACTGTCCATTTACTGCCCTAAATGGGGAGGGGCTTCCTGCCCCAGCCTTAAAGGGCCAGAGGCAGGAAGACAGCAAGCCTTGTGGGAAGTGTGTGCGTGTGGGGGCGGGGACAGGCCGGCCTGTGGGGATCTCAGCTCCAGGGTGGGGCCCAGGCCCACCCTGTTCCCATGCTCTGATAGCTGTACAACCAGGAAGGCCAAATGGGAGACCTAGGCCACTTCCCAGTAGAAGCCTGAAACTTCCCCCCTGAAATGGAGGGAGTGAGCTTCCTGGCAGCCAGGGCAAAGCAAGCAAGGTGTGGACTCCAAGAAGCCTGGCCCACTACACCTGTTATGGAAGCAGCACTGGCTGTGTCACCTGGGGCCATCTGCAAGCCCTGAGATTAAAAAATAAAAATGAAATGAAGCCCAATACTTCCAGAGGCCTGGATCCAGCAGAATCCCCACCTCCTCTTTGACACATCCTGGCTCAAGGTGGGCCCAGCCTGTTTTCCAGTCAAACCAGAAAGACGTGGGTGGGGACATCCACTGTGTGGCCCAGCCCCGGCCTGCAGAGGGGACAGATGGAGGGGCCGGACCTCAGGCCACAGTCCAGGCCCTGTGTACCCCACAGAGAACTGGGCTGAGGACCCTGGAGTGGAGCTGGGGTGCAGGATGATTACTAGCACCCACCAACCTGAGTGTACACCCACCCTCCTCAGCCTGGGAGGCAGGATCTGGAATCCTGGGCCACCTGGTTTTGCACACAGGGCCACACGCTCAGAGAGGGGAAAGCACTGGCTTAGGGTCACAGAGCCTGGCTGGAATTTGAACCCAGTTGCCAGAGCCACTGGTCTTGCCTCTAACTTGTTCTCCCCAGAATGCCTGTCCCCTCCCCCCGCAACAGCCCCCAGAAGTCACCCTGAAGGGGACTGGCAAGGCTTGGGGGGGGGTCCCCTCTGCCACCAGGGGTCGGTCCTGATCACCAGTCCAAAGCTGTCTAAGCTGAGAAATAGCCTGAAGGGGACACCAGAGAAACTGAGACCCAGGGGGCTGTGGCTGCACCCTGGTGACCCTGTCTTCAGATGGATACCCGCTAGCTCGATGATGGCCTTGAGTCAGGAGCCTGGGGTACAAGGGGGGAAAGTGAGGGTGGCCCAACTCCCAGCAGACCTTCGGGTGCTGGGGGGACCTGAAGAAAGCAGAGGAACCTCATGGAAGGGGGGCTAAACAACATCAGGGGGTCAGGGGACCTATCCAAACTCACAAGTGGACCCCTCCTCAGGTTAGGCCTAGGTTAGATTCATTTGATATGATCAATTCTAAAGCCAAGCAGCTCTGCCGGCCTTGGGGTAGCAGGCGTGGAATTGGGGCTCTGTGGGGGTGTACAGGGCACACTGAGGACACCCACACCCACCAGGTGATTGCTGCCTAAGAGCTCTTGGCAGGACTAGGGTTTGAACTGTGTGACCTTCCAAGTCTCACTCACCCTCTCTGGGCTCAGTCATGTTTGAGTGACAGGTGCTGGCCAGACATCCAGTTGCCCCCCCACACACACCCACACAAGTGGGCAGGTGTCCCTGTAAAAGGACATGAGGGGACTTTGGAAAGACCCCACACTGAGGGGCTGGAAAACCGGGCATGTGACCTTGAGTCCATCTCTGCTTGGCCTAGTAGCCATGGCCCCCTGCCCAGCACTCACCAATGGCTCCAGTGGGATTTACCTACTCCAGGCCTCAGTTTCCCTCTATGGAACTGTGTGACCCAGCTCCAGGTAACACAGCCTCAAGAATCCCAAAAACCACCAAGGACGGAGGCTCTCCTGTCCCAGGAGCTGTCCTGCAGTGGGCCATGCCAGGTCCCCAAGTCTCAATGTCCCCACAGACTCCTGCGATCCCAGGTGTGTGCATTCCCCCTGGTGCCATCCAGGTGCTGACTAGTCTTGTCTCAGCCACTCACAACTAAATAATAAATACCCCCCCACACCCCCAAAGTGACCGGCGTATTAAAATTTCAGTGTCCCCGTTGGATCCTGTTTCCTGCCTCTTTTTTTCCAGCCATGGCTCTAGTCCCCTCCCTCCCTCCCCCAGGACAACTCTGTCGCCACAGCGATGTCTGCCGGTAAACAGAGCCCCAGCCCCGAGCCCAACCCCCGGAGAGGCTCCCGGCCCAGCTAGGGGAAACTCAGAGCGTCCCCATGGGGAAGATGTGGGTGCAGAGGTGACCCTGGGGTAAGATGTCCCCCAACCTACACAGAACTCTTTTGCAACGGAGGTCTGGGGGGGAGGCACCTCTCCCACCCCAGCCTTTGCCAATAGGAAGTGATCGGCTTAGTGGCTGGGGTGGCTCTCCCCTCCTCCAACGTGGGAGCGGCCACTCAGGGTGACGCCCTGGGCCCTGGCTTGGGGGAAGCTGGGGGGGGGGGCGGGTGGCTGACACTGGAGGGCAGGGGACACGCTCTCTCTCTCTCGCTCTCGAAAGCAGCTGTGACGAGGAGAAAGAGAAAAATAAAGCAAAAGGAGGGGAAGATAGGAGGATTACGCCATGCCTGTCACTCGTGGGTGCTGGGCTTAGTCACTCTCGGGTGCTGAGCTAAGTAGGCTTGATGGTGGGGGAGGGAAAGGAGGGGACACGGGGACAGCCATCTGTCTCTCACTTCCGCCAGTTAAGTGAGCACCCTTGGGTGCCAGGCCAGGGTGGGGGCGCACGTGGTGGCGATGGCGCCCGGGAGGAGGAAAGGAAAGAGGAAGGGAAGGGACGGCGGCCCCGAGGCGGCGCGGCTCCTACCTCCTGCCCGGGCGGCGCGCGGGCCCCAGCGACCGTGATGATGGCTGCGGCGGGCTGACGGCTCCGAGCCCCGGCGGGCGACGCTGAGCCCGGCCCCGCGCCACCCTCCGCCGCCGCCCGGCCAATCCCCACCCGGACTGGGGGGAGGGCGATGCAAATTACCCCGGATCTGGGTCCGCCCGTCACCTCCCCCGCGCCCGGCCCGGCCCGCGCCAGGCCGCGCATCCCCGGCCTCGCCTGAAACCCTGAGGCTGCCTGACACCACACCCTCCCCCGGGGAGAGAACGTCCTGGCTTCCGAAGGAACCTTTCTACTGTCCCACTAGCGTCCGGAACTAAAGGGAAAGGGGGAAAAGTAAAATATGCAAACGGGGGGGGGGGCTAGGGACGGTTACACAACACGAGGGGAGGGGCGGCAGCCGGAAACCAGGACCGCCGCGGGCCCCCAGCAAGGGAGCCGCGGTAGCCCCGCCCCCTCCCTGCAGACCCCGCCCCTCCACGCAGACTCCGCCCCCGTGCTGCGCCGCTCCGCAGCGTCCCTCGCTCCCATTGGCTCTCCGGTCTGCCGCTCACCGCCCCTCCTCCGCACCGCCCCTCCCTGAAGCGCCGTGGTCGCAAGGCACTCTGGAATCTGTAGTCCGCGCTGGCTCACCATTTCCGAAGCCGCCAAACCTTGAAGTTCACAGAAAGAACTACAGCGCCCAGGAAAAACCGCGAAGGGCTGCGCCCGCCCACCCGGACACCCCACCTCTTCCCTCCTCTTTTTTTTTTTTTTTTGCAAAGCCCCCCTCCCTGTTTTCTCAGCCCCCTCCCCCATCCCCCATGGTGCTCTATCCCAGCCAACTCCAACGTATGCACGCAGTACCAAATAGCACCCCCAATGTTCCCCACGACCACTCGGGAAACAGACCAGCGCCGAGCCCTGGGCCCTATTGCAAACTTAGCACGCGACGCGCCCCCTTCTGTCCCCCCACCTCCGCCCTCGATGCAGCCCGGCTTCCCCTCCCCCGCCGCCCGCGCGCCCGAGAGACCCGGGAGGCCATGCAGCCCGGTGCCAGGAGCAGGAAAGGGGAGTGTTGGCGCCCCAGCTCGTGCCCTTCGCCCCCTGATCCCGGACCCCTTCCTCCCGGGACTCAGCCAAGCACCCCCTCTTCTCAAAGAACTTAAGAACTGAAGACAGACTAAAGCCCACTAAAATCTCCTTCCAGCCGGCACCGTGCGCACCGTACGGTTGCTCAGGGCGCGCACTGCGCCCCCCTGGCCCCATCCCCACCCTGCAAAAAAAAAAAAAAAAAAAAAAAAAAAAAAAAAAACAGCCAGGTGTGGTAGAGCACGTCTTTAATCCCAGTGCTTGGGAGTCAACCCCGGAGCTGACTTACCTCGTCTGGGGGGCCGGAAGGATGCACTGGATCTGGGGACCCCCCCTGGGGGTCGGCGGGGTGTCTGTCGGGGTCCGGCGGGGCTGTGCTGCCCGCGTAGCTGGCAGCTCCAGCGGGCGGCGGCGTCACTGCCCTACAGTAGCCGTACAGTATAGCAAAGCCCCGTATGATGCTCCCTTCCTGGTTTGTCCGAGGGCAAGAGGGGTCCTCCCTCGTCTTAAAGGTGCCGCAGCCGCCGGCACCCCCCACGCCCAGCCCGCCCCCCCAGCCGGCCGCGGAGGCCTGAACAGGCTCTGCAGGTCGGTTCCTGCCACGTCCCCGCGGGGCTGCGCCTGCTGCACCCCAGGAGAGATCAGATCACATCGGGCTGTTATTAAGGATTTGGGGGTGTAGGGAGGGTGCATGGGGGGGCTCCAACCCGGACCCACCTCCCCCTCCCCTTGCAAGCCCGTGACCTCTCCGCCCCGTGGTGCGGCGCAGTGCCAGTTTCAAAGCTTATCTGAGCACCAAAGAACCCCAGGGTGCTGGGGGGGAGAAAGGGGCCCCCTCAGGTGCAGGGGGTGGGGGCCTGTAGATAAACAGTTCCCCCAGCCTGTGCACACAGGGCGGGGTGCATGGGTGGGGGGGACGCGGGCTGTGCCCCCGACGCCCCGGGCGGGGCGGGTTGGCAGCGGGGGTGGGGAGTGCCGTGTGCATCCCGGGAGGACCCACTGCTGAGTGTGGGGGGCACGTTCGCCCTGGCGGGGGGGCTGAGGGAAGACAGGGAAATGAGGGTCCCCTGCCTCATCTCCCTAGGGCCACCAGGGCTCTGGCAGGCTTCCCGCCCCGATCTGGTCCTCAGTTTCCCCAAGCGGTGTAAGGAACAGTGTTTGCAAGGAAGCCGCGGTTGCATCTGAGCTCCGGGTCCCCCCACATCCCCTCTGGGCCTCAGTTTATCCAAGTCCTCCCAGGAACCGCTGAGCTGGGGGGAGTCCCTCCCTCTCCTAAAGCAATCAGCCCACAAGCCTGGCACCCAGGGATTCCATTAAGAGTTGCCTCCACCCTGAGCTCAGTTCAGGGAAGGGTCACAAACAAGAACGGATTGTTTTCCTGGCTGTGTAATTTTCCCCCGTCTTGCTTGCAAGGGTCGTTGCAAATCAGGACTTTGGCAAATGATCCCAGTGACTTTGGCAAAAGATGGGGAGTAGGGAAAGTATATTCAACCCGGTCCTCTATTCAACCCGGTCCTCTCTCCGTTTCTCTCCCACTTCCTCTTGGTCCCTGGAGTGGTCTGGAGAGAGGAGACAGACTGACATCCAGGCCAGCCAGGCCTCCTGGGTTCTGGGGTTAAAAGCACGCACCACCGGGGCTGGAGAGATGGCTCAGGTTCAGAACACTGGTTATGCCGGGCGTGGTGGCACACGCCTTTAATCCCAGTAATCCCAGCACTCGGGAGGCAGAGGCAGGCGGATCTTTGTGAGTTCAAGGCCAGCCTGGTCTATATAGTGAGTTCCAGGACAGCTGGGGCTACAGGGAGATCCTGTCTCAAAAAAAAAAAAAAAAAAGAACACTGGTACACTGGTTATTCTTGCAGAAGACTCGGGTTCGAATCCCAGCACCCACATGTCAGCTAACAACTATCCAAAACTCCAGTTCCAGGGGATCCAACAGCCTCCTCTGTCCTCTGCTGGCATTGCACAACACGGGTGCACTTACCTACGCACAGGCGATACACGCATACACATAAAATAAAAAAATATATAAAAAAGCACACACCACCATGCCTGGCAGATTTATTATTACTGTTATTGTTACTATTTGCCTCAAAAGCTGTTTGTATTTTATTTTATTTTGTTGGCTTCAAAGCACTGATTGCCCCACAACACCCTCAAATATGCACTTTTGCTATTTTTTTTCCAGATAATGAATTAAAAGTACCATTTCAGATGGGCATGGAGGCATATCCCTCTAATCCCAGCACTGGGGAGGCAGAGGCCGGCAGATCTCTGTGAGATCAAGGACAGCATGGTCTACATTTCGAGGTCCAGGCTACTGGGGCTACAAGGAGACCCTGTCTCAAAAAGACCGAAAAAAATAAATATAAATAAATTAATAATAAATAAATGAATGAATAAAAAATAAATAAATAAATAAATAAATAAATAAATAAATAAATAAATA